TTTTTTTTTTGGTGCCAGGGATTGAACTCGGGTCCTTGCGCTTGCAAGGCAGGCCGCTGAACCACTGAGCTAAATCCCTGGCCCTAAAATGCCTATTAGTCAATGTGCCTAAGGATGACATTATTATCCCAGACAAAATCCTTAAGATGATCTCTCATCCTCCTCCAATTTTGTCCTAGATTTTGCCAGTTTGACCCCTAACATTTGTAAATGGAAGTACGTACTGAATTTTCTTATATCAACATATATCTAACCTGCAATGAAAACTGACTCTGGTGATCATCAGTACTGTATATGAATGTTTGCTAAGTACCCACTCTGTGATATTTCTTTTCAAGTGGAAACAACTGAATGGTTAGAGGAAATAAATAGTTAAGTGTTTCCAGTTTGTGCTCAGCATGCAACTAAGTGAATCTAGTTTTCTACACATGGCCAAATTTTCATGCCTTTCTGAATAATCTGTGTTGTGTTAAAGGATGTGTTTTCTTAGTATGAAAATAAAGGATAATTTAGAGTAAAAAATGTTTGAAGAAAGTACATGGAATTATAAGTGGTTTCCAAAATTCAAACTTACTTTAAATTGCATCATTTAGTGTTACTGTTTTTTTTTTTTAAAGTTCTCGTTTTTATTTGTGTAGAAACTAATTTGATGAATACTTGATAGCTGTTTTATCTGTGTGGTAATAATTATTTCTCATATTTTGCTCTCATGGTCTCTGTGAAAGTAATGGTAGGCATTACCCATAGGTAAGAGTACCCATTCTTGTCCAGATTATCTCCTATCACAGAATGTTTTCATAGTGTAGTCAGACCTTTAAGTTTTTTTTCTCATTGAGTTTATTGGTACATTTTAGGTACACAGTACAGTTACATTCATCATTGGGATCTTGTACCTTTACATGACAGGTCTTGGTTCTTATTTTTTCCCCATACCCCTGCCCTTCCTTCAGCTCCTCCACACTTCCCTATTTACAAAAACTTGTTTCCATCTTTTTGTTTTCTTATATTTTTTCTTTTACCTTATTTCCTTTTCCCTAACCTTCCCACTTCCCCTACACCTTTAGCTCCTTTCGTCCTATTTCACATTGTCAATTATACCATTTGAATCTTATTTAAGTCCTTTAGGTTTTGTATGTCTCTTCCGTAATGACCTACATTTTGTCTCTAACCAGAGTTTTTTCAGAGAAATTTTATGCAACTTCTAAAGAACTCAAGAATTAAAAAAAGTTGGTATTTTTATTTTAATGATAATCTAAAAGCTTTTATAGTTTTCTTAGATTTTATGTATTTACTAATTTCTAAAACAGTGAGTTGTTTCCGTGTCCTCTAGTGGTGATGTATGATTCCCTCATCTTAAGTATCATGACTCATAGTCATACTTGAAATGATTGTTGCAATTAATAGTTGTTGAGCACTCAGATTGTATAGAGTGGGCCTAATCACCGTGATTCTTAACCCTAAAAGCATGTCTTGATCTGAATTAAACAACCTTATGTCCTTGCTTTGACAGCATGTACACTGAATTATCAACCTTATAAGTAAGCATTCCATTCAAGTTCAGAGCCACTAGCATGTTCCCTGTGCCTGTTTTTGTTTTTTTTTAGGGATGAGAAAATGGGAGAAATGAAATCATCACTTGGTGTGTGGTGAGGTAGTAATATTAAGCTCAACAGTCTATACCAATGTAGTCACTGCAACCTCGGATTATGTATTGATTTGCTTTAGCAAAATACTATCATCTATTCTAGAAAATTGTTAAATGGAGTTTTATTAGTATTATTTCATTTTTATTTAATTTTAAGTTTGGTTTGGCTTTGTACCTAGTTAAGAGTTATGGTCCTAAAGAGTTTAAAGCAATTTTTATGACTTTGTATTTCAACTCTTTATTCCTTTGCTTTTGTGCTGTCGGAGTTATTAGATTGGTTTTCTATATTGCAATCAGATTTTATGAGTATCTTTTGAGTTGTTACTATACAAGTGTGAATGTTAATTCAGTTACATTTTCAGTTTTATGTGTCAGGTGAAGTACCTGTTATTGCCATGAAGCTTAACTTCATGGAATAATTTAAAATCCTTTTTATTTCATTCATCTGGCTTTTACATTGTATCGTTTGGGCTGTCCATCCCTAGTGGCTTCAGATAGATAGATCTTTTTTATATTTTTGAAATTAGGTCACCAATTTATTTTTCTATATTCTTATCTTGTTTCTGAAATGTTTAATTTTCCAGTGCTTTTTATCCCTCCTAGAGTTTGATGTTATGTTTCATTTCTCTTGTTCTACAATATTTTTCTACGTGTCCTCCAGTGGCTTTTTTTTTGGTATGAGTGTGTGTGTGTGTATGTGTGCACGCGCGCACGCACGTGCATGTATGTGCATATGTATAAGTGAAAATTCACTTTATTCAAAAACTTTTAGTTCCAGCTTAGGATTTCTGGAATGTGAAAAATAATTAGCCTTTTTTTCTTCTAGAAATGAGAGGAACAAAAGGAGTAGATACCTGAAATTCTATTTCTTTTGATTTAGATTGTTTTAGTCTTAAAACAACTAAAATAAAAAAGGAGTTGCTTCATTTGTGACTCATACTCTGTTGAACCTATGCTTTGTGTCAACAGAGGATTTCTTTCTACATAGGGAAACCTGCCTTCTTGATCAATTTTTTAAACATTCTGTTTAAAGAATTTTAGATGACTTGCTTTATTGATCATGTAGTATTTTAAAAATAATTATTTTTCATTATCCTTGGGTAAGATATCTAGACCTAAAGAATGTCAGCAATTCAGGCTGATCTTTGAATATCAGACCATACTTCTGCAATGGATATGGATTTTCCTCAGCTTTATTCTTTGTTCCCTTGGTGTTACTTGAATCTTCTCAGGTCTCTAGGTGTTGTATAGTTCTGGACAGTATTCTCAATTATTTAGCATGTTTTTATTTAAAATAGCTCTTTAGGTCTAAAAGGGTATTTTTTGTTTTTGTTTTTTCTTGTTACAGATTCCCTAATCATCTGAAGAAAGCATTTGGACAACAGTAAACTAGTGTGAGCTGACAGTCTAATGTCTGTCCCAGTAGTTTTCTAGGCTTACAAGTCTTTGAATGAATGAAATAGATATAGACTTCGGCAGTTTACATTGTTTCATAATATCAGGCACTACAGCATTCAGTCTCCTCTTTGTTACAGATCTGGTATTTCTGAAAAAAGTGGATAGGCTTTCTCTCTTCTTTTTGTATTTGTTGTTTTATGTTTCTTTGCTGGATGGTACATCAATTAGATGTTTCAGTCTTACAGTAGACATTTCTTCCATGCTCTATTAGTAGAAAGATGCCATTTAAAGCCAGATGTTAGCATTGGTTTTTAAAAGATTTATGTTTTTTATTTTTATATTTCCCTACATAACTTAGTTCAAAATGTCTTTGATAATTTATTTTCTTGGGGAAGCCAGTTACTTTAAAATCTTTAGTCTATTTATATTTGGATGTTGTTTAAAAAGAGTAACTTTCCCTTCATTATATTCTATAATTTAGTTAAAAGAAAGCTTGGAACAATCAATAGGCCAGCTGCAAAGTCAACGTTTATTGAGAAACTCAGGAGGGAGAAGTATGTCCGTTACAAGTCTGAGTGCAAGTGACATTGATGGTGGCACTATGACAGGTAAACTCCTCAGATGTTCTAAAAACACTTGTAAAAAATTTCTAGGGCTGGGGATTTAGCTCAGTGGTTTGGTGGGCTGCCTTGCAAGCACAAGGACCCGTGTTCGATCCCCGGTACCAAAAAAAAAAAAAAAAAAAACATTTCTGAAGTACATATTGGATACATTTTTTCTTTGGAGAAATATAATATATCCAGTTTAGGTATTAGAACATGTAGTTGTCAAGGACTTCATAGTGTGTATTTAGAATTTTATTAAAGGGTCTTTGTTATTCTGATTCTGTTAGTTTTGGTTTTTCTAACTCTGTAGATTACTTGGAGCTTTACCAGAGAAAAGTTGAATTATATTTGTTTGCTGCCAAAGAATGAAATATACAAATAAGGTGTACTATATGGTATGTTTTCTAGGTTAGTGATCTCATCCTAGTGTAATAGTGTAAACATTTGATTATGTACTATTTTATGGCACTTGTTAAGAACAAATGAATTTTAGCCTTGGTGTGCAGCTAAATGTCATTGGCTAGGTTAAAAGTTATAATATGCTGAGTTTGCTTATAGTTAATCTTACTTATTCTTTCCTGTAGCACTGAGATTCATGTTTGACTAGAAGTCTTCAGTGAGGGGAGCTGATTTAGATAGATTGAACATTAGTACTTTGCATCGTAATAATGATTGATTAAGAGTTGGACACAATCATTTATTTACTTTTTATGTATTTATTTGACTTTTATTGATTTCTATACACTGTTTAGAATTAGATTATTGCATGCAATATTGTTTTATTAGTATTAAATTACATTTTATGAAGGCATTCTGTTTTAAAAAATTTAATTATTTTAATTTAAACCTTTTGCTGCTTTGGAAAAACAAAACATTGGAATGTTTGCCACATTCTATTTTCAGGTTAGTTCTGGTTTTCTGTTTTAAGAGCCAGAGTGGTAGCAAAATTGTGGAATTTTATGGCTGCTGTAAGATCAGTACTTGGGAAGCAGTCTAAATTAAGAATATGTGTGTATATCCACATCTGATGTGCATGTACAAAGTAAAATTTTGGATAGGTTCTTTTCATTCATTGTCTTAATTTCCTTCCTTGCCTTTTTCACTTGCAGAAGGCCACCGTTTTCCACCTACCTCACCTCTGAAGGAATCTGATCCACAGGGTAATAAAAGAATTAAGTCCAGAACGAGTGTCCGGTTTCGGGAGACTGAAGATATGGCCCAGGTACTTTGTACTGTCTAATTTGTATGGAGCATTGCCATATATTTCTATATATGACTAAAACTTGAACTTTGTTTCATATTTTAACAAAAAAATTATTTACATTGACTTTGCTAATTTTTATTTTAAACCAGGTAAATTATTTTATTTCCTGTGCTCTAAGGTTTCTTACACGTTTGAGTTTTGTTATGGAAGCTCATATTTTGAAGATTTAAAAATGAGTTTAGCTGGACATCTTTAATCCTTCCCTGTGTAGGTACCTCACTCCTTTGAAAGCCCTGCTAACTTAGCTACTTCTCATTTTGCTAAGTTTGAAGAGTCATGAACAAATTAGTCTTTGTATAGTTGACCCTTTGATTTTTCCTGCATTAGTGTTTTTCTTTTTTTTTGGTACCAGGGATTGAACTCAGAACCTTGAGCTTGCAAGGCATGCACAGTGCCACTGAGCTAAATCCCTAGCCCCCTGCATTAGTGTTTTTCTGATTGTTTGTTTTGCTTTTTGAGACTGGATCTTGCTATGTAGTTCAGGCTGTCCTTGAACTCACTGTGTAGCCCAGGGTGGCCTCGAACTCCCAATGATCTGCCTCAGCCTCCCAAGTGCTAGAATTACAGGTGTGCACCACCATGTCTGGCCCTGTTTTTCTGATTGTTGAATTATTTGATGGAGCTATTTTCTATTAATTCTGTACTTTATTTGTTCACTGACAATTTCTGAATAATTAGTTCTGTGGATGTATTTCTTTTTCTGTGTTTATAAAGTTCTTTGAAGAGCTTCAATTTTTTCTTTCATTGTCTTAGGTAGTATATTAATTTAAAAAGGTTGGGGAAGTTTCTGACTTAGATATCTTTGTTTTGGCACTGTTAGGATTCAGTGCTAAAATTTTGTCTTAGGATACTCATCTGTTCCTTTCATTTACATAAGAAAAAGAACCAAACAAAATGAGTTCAGAAATACTTTGTGGAAAATTTTCTTAGACAGTATTATTATCATCATTGCTTATGGTTTGTTTTGGAAACAAAATCTTGCTCTATATTCCAGGCCCCTACTAAGGGAGTAAATAGAAAAGCTTTGTAATGGATTAAACTGATAGGTCTTGAAGATCGGATATCCAAGGAAGAAAGTAGAAATGAGTGAAATGGAAGCATCAAGGATGAATCTTAGAATTTTGATTTGCAAAATTGGACATCTGTTATTTGTCCACCATACACCCTCTACTTTCTTTTTATTGTTCTTCCTTAAGTCCATTTTCCTTTTTTCTTTTAAGTCCATTTTCTTAACGTGACTTTTAGCTCTCCTTAACTGGGTACATTCTTAATGTCCCAGTGAAAATTTGTAGCTTAACTATCTGTTTTCCATAATAGATTATAAGCCACTTAGTTTCCTAGCAGGTACTGGCACTGATTGGTTGTTTTATGTGTATTTGTTTAACTGAGTCATTTATTTCTAGAAAACTGTATAACTTAAACATTTATATTATAAATTATATTACACATGTACATAGATAGCACATATATTTACAGATAAAAATATCATAATGAGATCGAATGCCATGTATCCACTACCCAGGCTGAGAAATGGAACATTATCCTACCTTCAAGCTTCTTTTATGTTTTTTTTTTCTTCCCCAAGGAGTATGCACTATTCTGACTTTTATATACTTTTATTTTTTTCTATAATTTTTTAAAAATAATTTTACTACATCTTATTTAAATGTTGCCTGCCTTTAAACTGTATATAAATGGAATAGTACTGAATATCTTCTATAATTTACTGTGTTTTTGACATTTAGTCTTACTAATGTGTGTGACTAGCTTAAATACTTTCATTTTCATGGCTGTATGATATTACACTGGAGGAATATACTAAAATTTATGTCTGTTCTATTCTTTTTTTTTTGGAACTGGGGATCAAACTCAGGAGCTTGCATTTGCAAGGCAGATGGTGGAACCACTGAGCTAAATCCCTGTCCCTGACTGTTCTATTCTTGGTGGACTTTTGGGTCTAGTGTTGTTATTTTGAACATTGCTGTTTCTTACTGTTCTTATTGCATGTGGGTAGCAGGATTTTGGCCATAGGGGTTGGCAAATATGGCCTGTGTGTTAATAAGATAAAGTCTTGTAACACAGCCATGCTTATTTGTCTATAGTTAGTATTGTATGACAGTGATAGAGTTGAGTGGTTATGATGGAGGCAGAAAGAGTTTGCTGACTCCATATGTATAAGGGGTAAAATTGCTATACTATGAAAGATTTGATAGGTAATGATGTATGTAGCTTTTCAAATTGCTTTTCTTTGAAAAAAATTTTTTAGAATCAGTGTTTGTTTTATACTTTATTAATAACATTAGAGACTTTGGTCAGTATGTAAAGAACAATGATTTATTCTTAACCATTAGTGAATCTTCATGGAAGAATTCAACAGAAGCCTTAATGGGTAACTGTTTTGCCTTTTTTAGCTTCATGCTTTTCATCAGTCCCTCCGAGATCTCAGCAGTGAACAAGTTCGCCTTGGTGAAGATTTCAACAGAGAGCTTTCCAGAAGGAGCCGGTAAAAGCAGAATATGGTTTCCAGGGGAGGCATGAATTATTATAAGAATAAGTTTCTCTAATTGACATGTATGCATAGATTTTTAAAAAACAATGCTTTTTATTCAAGTATTTCAAAATTTTTAATAGACTAGTTCAACACCCTTACAATTTATAATATATCATGATTCAATGTTAGACAAATAAATTTCATATTTTAAAAACACTTTAGTACAATGGAATACTGACATTATGGAGAGATACATTATGAAATCTTAGCAAAGCGGTAGATTTAGAAATATACTAGGGAGACAAGGGCTGAGGAGACAGACTATTCAGACATAGAGTCAGAGAACAAGACTAAGACTGACGGGCTAACTTTTAGCTTTGCAGAACAAAAATGTATGATGTAGAATTTGTCAATGGACATGAGCCATTGTAGAATTTAATACCTTAGATTATGTTTGAGTCTTTGAAAGCCAGTGGTTAGTGTCAGCCTATCCTTTGCAATCTGGTCTAGTCTAGATAATTCCTATGAATGATCGTGTAATTTAGATCTGTCTAATTATTTATATTTTTACTGCTGACAGTGGAAGGTTGCTTTATTTTGGAGTTCATATTTTTCTAAGAAACAGATTTTTATGCCCTCGTTTGAGGTACAGTCTATATACATCAGTGACTAGGGAATGACAACTGTGTTAAAGCTTGTTTACCATGTTCACCAGCTACCTAAAACATATTGTATACCATTTCTCCATTGCTGTAGCAAAGACTTCAGACTATAATGGTTAAATTTATCAGGTATAGCATATATAACTTACCTGCTTTCAGAAGAGGATGGCAGGGAATTTAGTAATGAACATTGGAGTCTACTATTACTAGTGTTATTGGTACTACTAGTTAACATTATTGAACACTTATTTCATGCTTTGCAGATTTAAATTTAACTCTTGCAAGAACTCTATGAGATAGAAGAGGCAACAGAGATGAAATAATTCCATTTGCTATAGATGGAATATGAGAGATGTAGTGGAATCAAAATTCATATTCAGGCAGTAAAGCCCTAATGTCTTTGCTTTTTACCACTTGTTGTATATTGTGTTTCCAGATTATTTTCACAAGATGATATCAGTAAAGCATTTGAATTTCTGTATTGTGAGTCACATCATTAATCTTTAGACTTGTAAGACTTAGTTAATATAATACTTAGATTTTTTGACCAGTTGATGGAATTAACAAAAGGAACTAAATTGTAAGATAGTCTATTCTTAGATTGGAATGGTTTTATCATGTAGCTTTTACACTCTTGATGGAAGGGTATACATTATGCACTAAGAACATGCACGGTGACTCAATTGATTAGTTTAAATGGTCATTTGGATGTGCCTTGTTGTCCTGGAATGCTTTGGATATATAGGCTGCTACCATCTAGGGATAGTCTGCGTGGCCCAGAGGCAAAGGTAAGGCAGAGAAACTTCGTGTAACCAAAAATACAAAACAAGTTTCTTGTGGAAACAAGGTGGCGTACCTTTTGTGGACTGGTAGGGTTTAACTTCCTATTTGATTCTGAAAGTTTGGTATTCGAGTTTAATTACTTCATACCCCCCCCCTTTTTTTACAGTGACTGCAAAAAGTATATTGAATTATAAAAATAAGATGCAAAGCAAGCTTTTAGAAAGCATTAAATAAAATTTACTTCAGAATTTAACCTAGACTGAATGTCTTAGGAAGAATCGATTTGAGGAGGTTGGGTTAGAAGTCTGTTGCATTAGCATGTGAGACTTGAAGATGACCAGGGTATGACAAGAATGAAGTGCACAGGTGTGTGTTTTAAGATTCTTTGTGGTAGATCAGAGTCAGAATTTGGTGATGGATTGTGTGTGGGTGTGGCTATAAAATAGCTCTAAATTTGTCTAGCATTGGACAGCAATGTGAACTAAGTTCTTCAAAACAGGAAGTCAGTTGAATATGTTTAGAATTGAAATTGATGAAAATAACAAACAAAACAATTAAGAATGGAAAAGGTTGTATAGTACATGGTTTCCAGTAGGAAATGGGTCCAGAGATAAGGAAATATATGAGAAAAAGTTTTTTTTCATTTGTTTATAAGTCTTCCTCTACTACTTAATTGTTTCACATGTATGTCATTCATTTGGTGGACCAATGAGAATAGAACTAGACACAGGGTATGAGGTGAAGGTACTCTTACTGTAGCAGTGGTTCTGAATTGGGTCCTTATGCCTGTACTATCAGGTGCATTTGTAGATATACACATTCTTGGGCCCTGTTCCAGATTAACTGGTTCAGAAATTTGGGGGTTGGGCACCATCCCTGTTTTCGCCAACCCTTTAGGTGTTTCTTGTGTTTGCTGTTCCTGGACCACTGTAGCCCAGTGCCATATAATACCTTTTAGTTACTATGCTGTAAGTTTCACTAGTTCTGTATATTTTCTTCAGTATCCAACTTAAAATTTCTTTTTTTCTTTGGTCTAGGTCAGATGCTGAAACAAAAAAGACTTTGGAAGAATTGACTGAAAAACTTAATCAAGCCCAGAAACAAGAAGTGGTGAGGACCCTTTGTTTATAAAAAGCTTTATTTCACTCATAGAGGAAGGTGCCTGCACTTGTCAGAATCACAGTGAAGTTTAGAAGGGTTTAACCTTCTAGGTGTTAATGTCCTTTTATCTAAAAAATGTATGCTTTTTATTTTATTTTATTATTTAATTTTTTATTTTTTGGTTTTTTAGACAGGGTGTCACTATGTAGTTGAGACTGACCTGGAACTCACTATGTAGCCCAGGCTGGTCTCGAACTCACAGCGATCCTCCTGCCTGCCTGCCAAGTGGTTGTATAGTACATGGTTTCCAGTAGGAAATGGGTCCAGAGATAAGGAAATATATGAGAAAAAGTTTTTTTTCATTTGTTTATAAGTCTTCCTCTACTACTTAATTGTTTCACATGTATGTCATTCATTTGGTGGACCAATGAGAATAGAACTAGACACAGGGTATGAGGTGAAGGTACTCTTACTGTAGCAGTGGTTCTGAATTGTGTCCTTATGCCTGTACTATCAGGTGCATTTGTAGATATACACATTCTTGGGCCCTGTTCCAGATTAACTGGTTCAGAAATTTGGGGGTTGGGCACCATCCCTGTTTTCGCCAACCCTTTAGGTGTTTCTTGTGTTTGCTGTTCCTGGACCACTGTAGCCCAGTGCCATATAATACCTTTTAGTTACTATGCTGTAAGTTTCACTAGTTCTGTATATTTTCTTCAGTATCCAACTTAAAATTTCTTTTTTTCTTTGGTCTAGGTCAGATGCTGAAACAAAAAAGACTTTGGAAGAATTGACTGAAAAACTTAATCAAGCCCAGAAACAAGAAGTGGTGAGGACCCTTTGTTTATAAAAAGCTTTATTTCACTCATAGAGGAAGGTGCCTGCACTTGTCAGAATCACAGTGAAGTTTAGAAGGGTTTAACCTTCTAGGTGTTAATGTCCTTTTATCTAAAAAATGTATGCTTTTTATTTTATTTTATTATTTAATTTTTTATTTTTTGGTTTTTTAGACAGGGTGTCACTATGTAGTTGAGACTGACCTGGAACTCACTATGTAGCCCAGGCTGGTCTCGAACTCACAGCGATCCTCCTGCCTCAGCCTGCCAAGTGCTGGGATTACAGGCGTGTGCCACCGCTGTACGCTTTTTAAATGCTTGTAAATGTTAGAAATTTGTTTGAAATATAGTAGTAGAAGTACTACATTACAGATAAAATTAATTAAAAATTTTTTAACTTAACAGTTTTATGAACATTTGAAAGATAAATGTTATTGGCTCATAGATCTTTGAAAAATGTGGTGTGCTTTTTATAATGACTTTGTAGCATTCCCCGTTAGGTATTTTCACATCATCTCACATAAATGTGTAGTAACAATTGCCACGAAGACCTTCTTGCTGTCTTTGTTTGATCTTGTGCTAGTTGATAATTTCCCAGTCCCCAGGTTTTGATATGCCAGACACAGATTGTTGATACTAATTATTTACTTATTTTTATCAAATCGCTGCCCTTGATGAAATTAAAATTTTGTAAAGTACACATCATGTCCATTTTTCTCCATCAAAATTTTTTGGGAAAAATAGTAATAGAAGTTGTCACGAAACTGGTTAACAAACTTGTCAATCTCAAGAGCAGTATGTATTTTGTTAAATTCCCCAAATATCTTTTTTTTTTCCAGATAAGGAAACTTAGCAAAAATTTTTACCATACTTTTTCAAATTGTAAGTTCCCCAGTACAAGCAGATTATTTTGCTTCACTTTCTGCTTATGTTTACAGTGCTTTACATAGACAGGCTCTATATACGAAGAAAACTCGGTTATTAATATTTCAGTGAAACTTGCCCATTTCAAGCATATGAAAACACATAGCTATCTAAAAGCACCTTTTTTGTGTGCTATTGGTTTTAATTCCTTACAATTAGGAAGGTGAACATATAACACCCATTTTCATTGAAGTAGACAAAATTTTTACAGATATATATATATATATATACACACACATACTTGGAAATTTTTTCAGGTTCACCAAGAGTATTTTCAATTTAAATTGTAGCAACTTAAAATATGTAAAACATCACAAACATCACATATTTTGAAAAAATGTGTTTTCTGAAAACATTGATGGTCACATGGCAAAAAATCTGCCTTTGTCTGATTTACATACTCATTAAATAGTTGAATCTACATATTCAACTCTGAGGCCCTTTTTGCTTACTACATGACACTGGCCATTCTCATAAATTCTAGACTGGACTGTCACTTGATAGGAGAAAGTGCTGCAGTTTTGTTACCATCTTTTTAATTTTTAAAAGTTAGAGGTGGAAAGTATATACAGAAATATGTGTATCAGTGGGTTACACAAAGTGAATAAGCCCATGTAAGTAAGCACCCATAACTAGAGGTACTGCAGTACCTTCACAGCACCCCAGAAGCCTCTTTATTTCCCCTTCCAGTCGTTAATCATGCCTCTCCATAGGTTACTGCTATTTTAACTTTTTAACTCCATAAATTAGCCTTTTCTATTTTGAGCTTTTTATATAAATGGAATCATACAGGACTTTTTGTATGTCTGTATGTCTGCTTTTTTTTTGCTAAGTGATTGTGCTCTTTATGAATATTGTTTTATGTACTTTAGTTTGTTCATTTTTACTGCCCTGTGGCATCTGTTGTATGGATATACTGAAATATATTTTAACATTACAAAATATCTGAATCTTAAAATATTTTATGCTATTGTGAGTAAACATTGCTGTCACCAACCTTATTCAGAGTTTTAGTGCATGTATGCACATGTTTCTGTTGGTACATAAGATGGGGTACAATTACTATTTGCCTTCAAATTTAGTAGACACAAAGACTTTGTTTCCATTATTTTTCATTTTCTCATATTAATTCCACTCCCTTCTTTCCTTTCCCATATCCCTCCCATTTCCCCTTCCCCTTTGTCCCTTTTCTTTGTAGCTAGGGAGGGAGGGAGGGGTTGAAGGGAGGGCAGGGGAATGAGGAAAAATAAGAACAAGATTGATTATACAAAGGTACAAATTTCCAACAGTGAATGTCATTATATTGTATACATTAAATGTACCAGTTAAATTAATTAAAAAATTTAGTAGATACAATTGAATATATTTCCAAAGTAATTGCAGTGGTATATGATCCTAGTAACTGTGTGAGAATTTGTGTTCTTCTATATCTCTTCCAATGCTTGCTATTTTCAGTCTTTTTAGTAGCCATTATGACAGGCATTTATGGTATCATGGATTGCCTTTGCATTTTCATAATTCTTAATGAATATCTTTTCATATGTTTTTAGTCTATTAAAAGTTTTGTTTTTTAAATAATAGTTTCCATTTTTTGCTTACTTTTTATTGCTTTGCTTGTATACTTATTTTGTGAGATTTTTTTAATTCATTAAGTTTATTGGTACATTTTAGGTATACATATGATGACATTCATCATTGGGGATTTGTAACTTTACATGATATATCTTGCTTCTTATTTTTTCCCTATTCCTCTGCTCTCCCTTCAACCCCTCCATTCTTCCTTATTTACAAAGACTTTGTTTTAATTTTTTCCTTTTCTCCTATTTTTCCTTTCCCCTCTTTCCTTTCTCCTGCCCTCCCACATCCTGTTCCCCTTTAGACCTTTTCTTTCTATCTCATATTATCAATTGTGATCCTTACTTACACTTTTAGTTTCTAACACCACAGAAACTACTTGGTATTTGCATGTATGTCCTATTTATTTCACTTGAGTATCACCTCAGTGTACATCTATTTAGCTATAAATGTCTCTAGATTCTCATTCTTTATGGCTGAGTAGTACTCCATTTTATGAAAAAAACCACATCTTTATCTAGTCTCCAGTTGATGATGGGCAATTGGTCTATTTCCAAGTTTTGGCTATTACAGACTGTGGTGCTATAAACATGGGTGTGTATATATTGCTGTGGTATGATCCTTTTAATTCTTTTGGGAAGATACCCAGCAGGGGTCAAATGGGACCTCTAAATTTTTGAGGTATCTCTATATTGATTTCCACAGTGGTTGTGCCACTGTGCACTCCCACCAACAGTGGAGAAGGGGTCCTTTACCCCTGTGACCCCACCAGTATTTGTTATTGGTTGATTTTTTGATAGTAGCCGTTCTTTATGGAATAAGATGAAATCTCAGTGTTGTTTTCATCTGCATCTCTCTGATGACCAGAGATGTTGAACATTCTTTCCTATGTTTATCTGCTATTTCTGCTTCTTTGTCTGAGAAATGTTTGTTCATTCCAGATGCCCATTTTTGAATTGGGTGTTTAAATTTAGGAGGTCTTAGTTTTTTAAGTTCTTTATATATTCTAGATAGTAGACCTATGTCTGAGGAACAGCTGGTAAAAATGTCTTCCCACATTGTAGGTTGTCTCTTAGCTCTGTTGGTAGTTTCTCTTGCAGTGCAGAAGCTTTTTAATAAGATGAGATCCAAATTGTTGATTCTTTGTGGTAATTCCCATACTACTGAGATTCTGGTCATGTCAACATCTTCAAGAGTTCTACCTAACCGATCTACCAGCAAGTTTAGTGTTTCTTTTTAATATTTGGATCTCTGATCCACTTTAATTTTTGTTTAGTGCGTGGTAAAAGATATGGGTCTAGTTTTAATCTTTGACAGATTGACATCCATTTTTTCCAGTACCATTTATTAAAAAGGCTATCTTTCTTCCAGTGAAGGTGGTTGGCTCCTTTATGAAAGATGAGGTGGATGAGTACATCTGGAATTGTTTCTGCATCTTCGTATCTATTCTACTGATCCTCAGGTCTGTTTCTTTGCCAGTACCATGCTCTTTTGATCACAGTAGGTTTGTAGTCTAGTTTCAAGTTGTGGATTGTGATATTCTCTGTCATGCCTTTGTTGCCTAGAATTGCTTTTGCTATTCTAGGTCTCTTCTTTTTTCAAATGAATTTTTGGATTGTTTTCTCTAGTTCTGTAAAATATACTGTTGGGATTTCAATTGGGATTGTATTGAGT